ATAAAGAATAGAAAATATTCAGTCAATCAAAAAAATTCAATTGAATTATCTAATCTCAGAAGTTTTCAGTTGAAATGTAGAAACACATATCAGGGTCAGATGTTTGATTAATCAATTGAAATTATTACTAGATCTCATACTCCTTGAAACAAATACTAATCATAAATTTCAATTTTTTAAATTCTTACCATATTAGAGTTTCATTAAAAATGTAACAACATTTAAATTTAGAACCAGTTAAATTGTTCTTTTTTTTAATATTACTATGTATACATGTATACATACTCACCTATACATATATATGCACATCTTGTAAGAACATTTGCTGTCCATTTTTTTTATATTAAAAATCCAAATGTCCAAATTCCAATAATAAAATAAAAATAAAGAAATCATGGTTTCATGCCTGTTAAATGAATCATTTGTATTTATAAATATATGTAAATGAATTCAAAAGTGTTAAAAAGGAGTAAAAATAGTTCTTAGTTGAGTTAAAGTTTTTGGATAGTTGGTTCACAGGAAAAGATTCTGTTTGAGAAAAGAAGATTCACTGAGCTTTCTTGCTGTTGTTGTTGGAGCTGATTTGTTTGAAGCTGCTGGCGCATGACCATCAGTGAAATTCATTGACCGTCTCTACTGTTGTTGTTGGCCACCAACACATGTTTCTTTCAACAAGTGTGGTCGGTGGGGGAGAAAGAAAAAAGCACTGTAGCCATGACTTCTCTTTTGTTTGAATGACAGTCATATCTCTGCTTGTTGAAAGTCAAGATCTGTTGGTTTTTATAAAAAAAATTTCCTGAAAATAGGCTTGAGAAAAATAAGGTTTTAGTTTTCTCTGATTGGTCAAATATTTCAGACGGTGATGTTAATTTCTAACCAATAGATGCTTTGATTTAATTGGTGTGTGTTGTTTTGTGGAATATTTTTGGCATGTTTATAAATATTGTCTGTTATTGAGTAAAAAATAATATTTTGGCATGTTTTAATATGGTATGTATATGGGTAGGTAATTGAATTGGAAATAGGGTTTATTTCCTATAACACTCGTTTTTTTTATAAATACAATTTTATCAGTATTGCGATTTTCCCAACAATCCCATAATTTGTCATATTCAAACTTATCTATTATTTATTTGTTTATTTTATATTAAGTAATTATAGATTCAATTTATTTTACTTAATTATTTTCTATTATTTGACTTTCATCAAATATCAAACATATTTTTAGATTAAATTGTGACTATATTTATTGCATTGTTGCACAGACTACTACTGATTGTTGTTGGCCTTTTTTCGATGGTTAAATGAAGGCGTTTACTACAACTCCCTTTAGGGGAAATGAGAAGGTGATGTTTGGGATAACAACAGATGAAAGAATGGGCAAAAGGTCTTTCACATGCTCCAAACAAAGAATAAAATAACATCATTGAGCAAATTTGAACACAATTTGAAAACAACAATGGTGACAATTAAGTGAAAAAGAGAAAAGGCATTCACAGAAGGATTAAAGAGAGTTTGTAAAGAGTCTGAAGATTTAAAGTTTGAGAAGACAAATGTCTGTATATGTATGGATGTGTGAGAATATGTGTGTGTGTGTGTGTGTAAAAATTTCAGATATAATTAAAATATATCTGTAAAAGGACTATATAAATAAAGACAAAAGGAGAACTTAACTTAGCTGACATGTTTCCTGATGGACTTTATCAAGGCAGCTATAAGGGTTTTATTTTGCAACAAGTATTTGTAAACAAAAGTAAAAATGTTAGTTTTTCAAAATTTTTAAATTTAATAGATGGTCATAAATATTCATCAGATTAACAGAAAATTCTAGGTAAATTATAGAGGAGGCTAAGTGACATAATTTAATGTCTAATAAACAAAAGTGAGTAAATTATATTATTGAATATATCTATATATATATGTGTGTGTGTGAGTGTATGCATATATGTTTATGGATCATATAGGAAGTTTAGGTAGACAAGCTGGCTGTAATCTATAACTTATACAAAGCCGCATATTAGCAGCCAGGCTGTCACCGCACCATCTTTTGCCTCCCTCACCTGGGTATTCCAGTGAAGTGGTCAGAAATGATCAATACCTCTTCAACACCACCAACCCTCTGCAGGCAATGTATATTCTGCAGTATTTAACCTTTTACCTTCTCACTCACCCCCACTCCACACCAGGCTAAAAAAGGGAATTTCTCATTTACTGAAGGTAGTAATTTTAAAGCCTGTTAGTGTTCACTTTTTTAAAAAAAACAAACAAACAAAAAACAGTGTCTAATATGACTCTGTTTAGGCATCAGAGGACTGCACTGTGAGAAATGTGGTTAGAGTTGAGAACCAGAAACTAAAGAGTCAATATTTGGGAAAATTTGAATTTTTCTTCTGTATTTTTTTTTTTTTCTACTTGTGTGAAAATGTCATTACTGTTCGAGAAAATAAAATTATTCATAAATATTTGTCAAGAAACATTGATATGTTGGAAAAAATTTGTATCCATTTAAAATTTTTATCAAATGTCAGACTACAAAGTAGATACATAAAAGTTTAGGGAATATAACTCATGTTTTCACAAACCAAATGTAGTAAGGATGTTTGCCTCTACTGTTTGTGAGCAGCAGGGTTAGTGCAAGGATCTCATGCCCCCACAAATCTATATGACCCCCACAACCTATGATGATGGGCTCCCACTCAACTATATCTCAATTTTCATAAGCTAATATTCATATAAAATACAAATTTTATTGTAACCAATAATGGATCATATGAAATATAGGTGAACAATTAAACTAGAAAAACTGAAAATAACTACAATGTGTCTAAATAGAAATTAGAGACCTTTTATTTCATCTTAAATAAGTCAACAAGATTTTGTAGTAATTTTTAACATCAACTTGATATTTTTCTTGTTAAAAAGTTTGAACAATTTTAATACATTCAACATTATGAATAAAAAGTAGTGAATTTTATATTGTATCATTTCAAAACTTAACATGAGCAAAACAAATTCACGGATTTAGACAGGGAAAAAATGACATCAAAATTTGCAAAAATTTTTCCTCTTTTAATAGTTGGTTGTACTTAGCTTAATTTGTAATATATATAAATATAGATAGAAAAAAAGCAAATTGTTGTTAAGATAGTGAGAGTCACAAAGCACTGCCTGGGGTCCCCAATCTTGTTACTATGTAAGTGGCATGGTATGTTCTTGCCATGAAGGTTTGCCTCGGCGGGACCAGGGAATGTAGTTGATCCAAGCACTTTCCATGGAAGTAGAGGTAGAGCAATGAGAGGCTTACTACATCCCACCTGTGGAAGAGAGGTTGAAGGGTGAAGAATAATTTGTCACCCACAAGAGCTTGGAAACACTTTTGAACTCTATCAAGGCTGGAGAGTGGAGTCTGGACAGCTCCTGCACAAATATGACAACAGTAATTCATTTCTGGCCTGATCTGGCTCTTGTTAGAGGATAGCAGGAGGAATCAGGTACTTACTGGGGTGGTACAAAGAGCTGACTATTTTACCTGCATCCTTACTAATGGATCTTATGTCCTAGGTTGGATGTGAGTTTGAGGCTCAAATTGACACTGAAGTTAAGCAATGTCAAGCCTGGTCAGTACATATAGGGTTGATTGCTTGGGAATACCAGCTGCTGTAAGCTTGGATGAGTGGGTGGTGTAATGGATAACGGCTTGAAATCAGAAATTGGAGAGCCAAGTTCCAATTCCAGTTGGGTTCGTTATATTCACTTACACGCAAAATACCCTTGAGAAAGGTATGAATTCATCTCTTCTCCCTACAGCTATGGACTAATTAGTAGGACTTGTATCACAAAATCATTTATTTGGATTTGGCTTTTGCCCTTAACTCTAGAAGGAGTCATTGGGGTGCCATCCCTCTCCAGGTTAGATCCCAGCTGATACCCTCCAGCTGATATCCTCCAGCTAGGTGGCTCAGTTTGGTCATGAACATAGGGCCTTTGTAGTTCATCTGAGAAACTCTTCTGCCCAGTGGTGCCGTGTTAACATCACCTCTTCACGTGAGTTTAGCCTGTCAGCTGAAGGGATTTACTGGGATATCACAACTTGGAGACATCATGTGAGAGATTTAGGAGATGGTTGAGGACCAGTGATGCCAGCTCAGCTGAAGTGTTCTAGACATCAATAGTACTACCTCTACCCAGAGCTCTCTATTTCCCAAATTATCATTATCATCTCCAAAAACCATTTACAATCAAAACATATTCTGTTGCTTTAAAAATAACCTGCAAAAGGTTGATAGTCCATAAAAAAACAAATCAAGCAATCAATCTGATAATCTGACAAAATGGATAATCTGACTTGTTTATGGAAGCTCAGAGTTTAGGGTAATCTATAATAATAATATAATTCTATATAATACATCTCTTTAGAACATGAACAATCATGACTCAGTATACCCCATCATAATACCTAGTCTGATGAAGGTATATCAGGCACATGTATCACAGCCAAATGTGCAAAATACAGGGACAGATTTTGATAAAAGCAGTGCATGACCTTGCAGATGGGGGCTATTAGAAATACCAGTCTGTTCAAATGGTTTTGTTGAATCAATAATACTTGCTCCTGTGTCTTGCTCATTTTCCTTGAGGTATTTGTTCTTCATCTAATTGCTCACACATGTTAGATAAGTTACCCTCTGCTTTACTTGGCTTTGATATGCTCTGTGAGTGTTAATGTCTCCGAGCTTTCTTTTTTATAATAAAATTTCAGCTCTTTCTGATTGTTAACAGCTGGTCTTTTGCATTTCCTATTTTCCTTAGAACTTCCTCATTTGTCACATGCTCTGTCCATGCTAACTAATTCCTGATGGTTGTGGAAGAGGAGTGTAACATGATGAAAAAGAAGACAAAAATGAAATGACAGAAAGTGTGTGTGTGTGCTGAGATGTTAGCATGAGGTTTGCACACCAATATTTTCCTGAGTGTAATGAAGAAATTGATTTCTTTTTCAGATTTTGGAACAAATTCGTGAAATGGAAGAGAACATTGCCAAAATTGAAATCAGCATTAATGAAAAGGAATGTCCTTTGAAACTTTCGCAGACACGTCTTGATGAGCGTGCTCAACGCCCAAATATGGAATTGTGCCGTGACCCCGTACAGTATCGTCTAATTGAAGAAGTGGGTGAGCTGAAGAGGTCAATAAAGGAACTGCAGAATTGCCTCCATCAGTCAAAAGCTTCATTGAAGAGCCTCATTCAAAACCAGAGAGAATTGGAAGACGACATTGAAGTTAAATCAAACACATTATTCATTGATGAAGTTGAATGCATGGGCTTACGGAAAAGTATTTATATTCAGACATTCTAAATATTTTGTTATTCTTAAGGAAAGAGGAGATCGGAGGGCTGAAGTGGCTTCCTCTTTTTCATTGCTGGCACGTTTGGTTTTGTAAACAACTTAAACTTTGTCCTCTCCTTTAATGTACATCAGAAATAAATAAAACCTGACACTTGCATTTGAATGACATTATTATTACTATTATTGTCTTTGTATGTTTTTTTTTTTTTGTTTTTTGTCAGAGATTTGGCATCATTGGTGTTCTTAATCAAGACATACTTCCTCAGACAGAAAGAACATTTCACAGAATATTTGCCATGCCAAGTAATACAGACTTCTGAAATGATGGGTTACAAGGTTTTATCCTGATTTTCACAATGTAGGACTTTAAGTTCAGTGGTATAGACCCCAGTGTCCCAATGTTAATTGGGGCAATAAAGGCTTGAATATCTCATATTCTGGAAACTTCAATCTGAAGGTCAATCTACTACTACTATTGCTGCTGCTTCTGCTGCTGCTGCTTCTACTGCTGCTACTACTACTACTAGCAGCAGCAGCTTTTTCAATTTGCCATTTACTATAATCTTTTGCTAAGACATTTACCTGAGATCTGAGGCAAAGGAATGTTTTTTCTTACAAAGTTATGCAGCACATTAGATTGAGTGAATTTTTCTGTGTATGTGAACAGTGCTCAGAATTTCACTTCAGTTTTAAATTTCTTCTTAAATCATTGGTTTAAAAAAACGCAATGCAATTACTATATGCCTTTTTAAAAAAGTGAAAAATTTTGTGCAAAATGTGAATCACACAGACCTTGCTATTTTTCTGATTGCTGATTGGCTAAATAATAATAAATATGAAAGACACCTACACAGTCAGGTTTTGCTGCCAATATTTTTGAACAGCAGTCTGGATCCAGTCATGTGACACAAAACCAAATAAATAGGAGCACAAACATATCCCATCCGTGAGACCTTTTAAAAGTCCAAATAGCCAGTGGAACATGCCACAATTTTTGTATTTTACACAATAAATCTTGAGACCTTTTAAAAATCAACAAGACTCATCGCTGCCACACTAAAGAAATTTAACTTGGATATTCCAGTTTTTTCCAATTCTTCACCAGCAAGAAATTACTTAAAAAAAGTCTTCTGAACCTACAAGTTTACCACAGTTTCAGCATTTCAGGACACAATTTAAGAAACTTTCTCACTCAATTCTGTTCAATGGAATTTATTCTTCAGTAAACATTTTTTTAGCGGCAAGATTTATTGTATTTATTTTCAGAAGTAAAAAAACTAAATTTCATTTAGTACCAAACAGAAACATCAAGTAATAATATAAGTTCCTTTTTCACTAAACACATTCTCACAATATTCATATTACATAAAAACTTTCAACTAATTCACAAAGAACATTTCTTCTAAAAACAAACTCTTTTTCATTGTGAGACCAGATAAAAAAATTCTCCCTTTCAAAAAAAAGTTTTCAAATAATTAAATTCATAATTAAGGCTAAACAACTCTTATTTTTGCATTGTAAGCTCTTGTACCAAAAACAATTTTGAAGGAACATTATAAAGTATTTTAATTTGCTCAATTAATATTACTGAATTTTGAAATTCAGCTTAGCTCAGCTAAATATTCTGAGCACTTTATTCTTGATAATTTGTATTATTCATATATAAATATTTTGTTGTTGCTTTACATTATTGTTGTCATCTTTTTTATTGCCTTGTTAGCCTTGTGCCATACATATAAAGTTAAATGTTTTTGGAGGAGTGAAATTTTATACAATCAGCCAACCTCATATAACCAAATAGCTTTCTGATCGATTTTCAAACTTATTCAACCTTCATTCTTGCCCATTATCACAATTTCATTTTGTGTCTCTGATAGTGAGGGTTTTTTTGGAAATTTCTTAATGTATCAGTATTATTTTTAATCATTCTTAGTGCTCCTGTTATTACTGGGATACTGGATGTGCTTAAATGAGAAAGAAAGAAAGAAAGAAAGAAAGAAAGAAAGAAAGAAAGAAAGAAGGGGTTTCCTGGAAATTTCTTAATGTATGTATCAGTATTATTTTTAATCATTTCTAGTGCTCCTATTATTATTGGAATAGTGGTTATGCTTAAAGGAGATAGCTAGCTAGCTAGAAAGAAAGAAAGAAAGTTGAAGTAAAGGAAATTTTTTTAGAAAGCTTCTGAGCATATTAGATTGAGTAAGTTTTTTTTTCTTCTGAATATGTGAATGGTGCTTATGAACACAATCTTTTGTATCTCAAACTATGAACATTTTCCTAGGATTTTCTTGTATCAACATTCTTCTTAATCATTCCTAGTGCTCTTAGTATTATTGGAATAGTGGTCATATTGAAGTGCTACATTCTTGCAATTCTTATTTTCCAGGCCCTTATATTTTGAAAGTTAGTTATTATTATTATTATTACTAATGTATCCCTGCCATCAAAAATGATGCCAATTGTTAAGTTTTAATAATGAGATGCAATGAAACAAAAGTCTTGAAACAATATATTGAAATTTCAATAAAGCAGAGATAAAGAATTCACAACTAAAATAGAGGTCAATGAATCATTTAATTAATCTGTTTCCTTTATATATTTTTTAGATGTTCAATGGTATCTATGATTTATTGATTACTCCTGGTATTATATAAATTGCTTTTTGCCCAATATCTTTTCAAGTTAAAAATTTTATGTGTTTAATATAACAGTGGAATAGAAATATCTCTCAGAAGAAAAAGATTAGCAACAGAAGGACAAAGACAGCAATGACAAAGCCTATTTCAAGACCAAGTTGAAGCAAGATGATCACTTAATAGACAAAGGTATATGAATGTCTCACATGAAAGGCTTGAACAAAAAGATTGCAATCTAATAGATGTAGGAGTTATGAAACTAATTAGTTAAACAGTTCATTTTAATTTTGTCTAAATGCAGATTTTTTTTGTAAAGATTAGTAAAAGATTCAAAGGGGAGTAATCACTCATAAATGTACTAACAAGTTGATTTATCTCCTTTCCCATGACAGATAGAACAAGAAATATATAAATAAATACACGTGAAATATCTTATATTAATACTAGTTTACCTATGCCAGAATATTCCAATTCGAGGAAGATCAGTTTATTACTTAATACCATTAGAAAATATTAATAATTCAAATAGGTGCTTACATCACAAGCATATAAAAAACCTCCACATCACATAGATTGCATCTGCTGCTGCTGTTTCTTTAGGGCTTTGTTGTCAGTCTTCGGGAAAGTGACTGAACAGAACCTAGTCAGAAGGTCATTGGCAAATTCTGGGGCACAAATAAGTGAGCAAGCACGTGAACAAGGAAGAAAAAAATGAAAAGAAGCAATTGAATATGACAAAAAATTCTTAAAATGATGTAAAAATTCATTTTGTTAGCTTAAAAAAAAACAAACATTAAAGCAGTCAATGACATTATATTTTGCTTATCTTTAGATAAAGCACTGTCGACTATTATTAATTTTAAATTTTGACTAACACAGGAAACAAATAAATATACATTCATAACTACAAATATATAAAGCCCAAAATAACAAAAATATATCTTCTATGTGCCGAATTCCTTCAGGATGTTGGTGATCATGGCTCTCCACAATTTCCAGTCCTTTGTAGCTCTGAATATATTTTGTCTTTTTACCATCTCTCCTAAACCCTGTTCTGCCATCCATTTATTCAAGCTTGTTATGTAGGTTATGTGTTGTTTTCCTCTGTCCCTCTTGCCTTCAATTTGTCCTGTGAGTATCAAATTTTCCAAGCCCTCTTTCTTCATTATAATTTGCATAAAATAAAATTTTAAATTTATATCAAATTATCATGTTGCAAAGTCTGATCTTTCTAACTTCTGTAATAATTAAGTTATTTAAATTTTAATATCTTTCAACTAACAGACTTAGAAATTAAAATTATTTTTACACACCAAGTCATGCATTTATAACTATGTCCTCATGAAATGTTTATAAAAATACAAAAGTAAAGAAGAAAAGAGAGAAATTCATTTTCTGCCTTCCAAGATATTCATTATTGCATATCCACACAATTAAATTTGTGGGATTTTTATTTATTCAACAAAAAAATGACATTTATTTTCTGTTCAGTCACATTTTACTCTTTCTCCTTCACAAATATTTGCTTTACCTTTTTCTTTCTTTCTTTTTTTTTATTTAAATAAACAATTACACACACACATGTGAGCACAAGCATGTGTGTGTGTGTGTGTATAAAAAGGATATAAGAATCCAGACAAAGTTTAAAAAAATGGAAAATGTTTTATTGCTAGGCTTCATTAGATCAAAACAAAAGAAAGGAATTCTGAAAATAGAATAAGAATTTACCTTAAATTCAAGGCAGAAAAATTGGGAGAATGTATAAATAAATTTTGACAAAGACAAGAAAACTGTAAAGAAAAGATACCAGCATAAAAAAAATGGCTTATATACAAGTTGCACAGTTTTATTCTTTCTTTTATCCTGAGAAATCTAGCTTAGTATTAACGATTTATTATTTAAGCAAATACATACACACATATTTCTTCCTTTCATTTTGATTTAATGAAGCTTAGCAAGGGTAAGAGTCATAATCTAGTTTCAATAAAACAAGTTTACATTTGTCATATATATATATATATATATATATATATATATATATATATATATATACAAAGAATAATCACACATAGAATTAATCAGAAGTATTAATGCGATTATTGGCGACATCCATCGCTAGAAAATATAATATATGCATTAAAATCCTGTTCATCCATAGTGCGAGTTTTGATCCTTGATGAAAAACTTGTTGTCTGTAGTTTTTCAGTTTATTTGATGTTAAAATGCTGGTACTTACGGATAGACTTCTATCCATCATCAGGCATGTGTTTTATTCTTTGTATGTAAATCATATGCTGCCTAATGTTTTATGTTTATTATATATATATATATATATATATATATATATATATAAATATATAAATTATGTTAAGA